GAGGACGTGGAGCACGGATAAAGTTGTCGGAGACCAAGTCGTGATAAACACAGTCAGCTCAGATCAGAATGATTATTATAAAAATGAATTAGTCAGCGACAGAAGTGTGTGATGGAACCTCCTGAAAACAAAAATGTATTTCCCCTGATGATGTCAGAGGGTGAGGTCGTCCTGAAGGTGCAGTAATTAATCTACTGTAACACCATCTGGTTTCTGTTATTCACACATGACAGAGCACATGTTAAAGGGCCAGTTCACTCAAATCACACAACACAGACACTGTAAAGAAAAAACTGCACCGCAGAATAACCGCCTATCAGGGACTGAGCCTGCATGTTGAATCCATGAAGAAACTTTGTGTCTTACTTGTAACTAACTTCCTGTAAGAGATTAACTGAAAAGGCGGACTGTTTAAAGACACAGAGACATCTAGTGACTGTGGTTTTTTTTGGATAACAGACCTAAACCGGATGGTAGAGACAGCTCAGTCAGGCTGAGTTAAGTCCAACACATTTTTCATTAAGATCCAGTGATTGAAAACGTGCTGTACCAAACAGCTGAGCTGAACGTTAAAGGGTTAACAATCGCAAAGCTGTATCCAAACATCTGTTTACATCTGGGGCGTGAAACTCATTTTAGTTCATGAGTCATGCACATCTCAGTTTATCTCAGATGGGCCAGACCAATAACCTTCGTAAAATAATCTGTAACTACTTTTTTTTGTGTAAAGAATTACAAGTATGTCCTGTTGACGTTCATCTTTTTACAAAACAGATGACCATTGACACACAACCAGGACCATTGACACACAACCAGGACCACAATTACGCAACCAGGACCATTAACACACAACAAGGAACACTGATACACAACCACGACCACAAATACACAACCAGGACCATTAACACACAACAAGGACCATTAATACACAACCAGGACCATTAACACACAACAAGGACCATTAATACACAACCAGGACCACTGATACACAACCACGACCACAACTACGCAACCAGGACCATTAACACACAACAAGGAACACTGATACACAACCAGGACCATTAATACACAACTAGGACCATTAATACACAACCAGGACCATTAATACACAACCAGGACCATTAACACACAACCAGGACCATTAACACACAACCAGGACCATTAATACACAACCAGGACCATTAATACACAACCAGGACCATTAACACACAACCAGGACCATTAACACACAACCAGGACCATTAATACACAACCAGGACCATTAATACACAACCAGGACCATTAACACACAACCAGGACCATTAATACACAACCAGGACCATTAATACACAACCAGGACCTTTAATACACAACCAGGACCATTAACACACAACCAGGACCATTAACACACAACCAGGACCATTAATACACAACCAGGACCATTAATACACAACCAGGACCATTAACACACAACCAGGACCATTAACACACAACCAGGACCATTAATACACAACCAGGACCATTAATACACAACCAGGACCATTAACACACAACCAGGACCATTAACACACAACCAGGACCATTAATACACAACCAGGACCATTAATACACAACCAGGACCATTAACACACAACCAGGACCATTAACACACAACCAGGACCATTAATACACAACCAGGACCATTAATACACAACCAGGACCATTAACACACAACCAGGACCATTAACACACAACCAGGACCATTAATACACAACCAGGACCATTAATACACAACCAGGACCATTAACACACAACCAGGACCATTAACACACAACCAGGACCATTAATACACAACCAGGACCATTAATACACAACCAGGACCATTAACACACAACCAGGACCATTAACACACAACCAGGACCATTAATACACAACCAGGACCATTAATACACAACCAGGACCATTAACACACAACCAGGACCATTAACACACAACCAGGACCATTAATACACAACCAGGACCATTAATACACAACCAGGACCATTAACACACAACCAGGACCATTAACACACAACCAGGACCATTAATACACAACCAGGACCATTAATACACAACCAGGACCATTAACACACAACCAGGACCATTAACACACAACCAGGACCATTAATACACAACCAGGACCATTAATACACAACCAGGACCATTAACACACAACCAGGACCATTAACACACAACCAGGACCATTAATACACAACCAGGACCATTAATACACAACCAGGACCATTAACACACAACCAGGACCATTAACACACAACCAGGACCATTAATACACAACCAGGACCATTAATACACAACCAGGACCATTAACACACAACCAGGACCATTAACACACAACCAGGACCATTAATACACAACCAGGACCATTAATACACAACCAGGACCATTAACACACAACCAGGACCATTAACACACAACCAGGACCATTAATACACAACCAGGACCATTAATACACAACCAGGACCATTAACACACAACCAGGACCATTAACACACAACCAGGACCATTAATACACAACCAGGACCATTAATACACAACCAGGACCATTAACACACAACCAGGACCATTAACACACAACCAGGACCATTAATACACAACCAGGACCATTAACACACAACCAGGACCATTAATACACAACTAGGACTATTAACACACAACCAGGACCATTAACACACAACTAGGACCATTAACACACAACCAGGACCATTAATACACAACTAGGACCATTAACACACAACTAGGACCACTGATACACAACCAGGGCCATTAATACACAACTAGGACCACTGATACACAACCAGGACCATTAATACACAACCAGGACCAATACTACGCAACCAGGACCATTAACACACACCTAGGACCATTAATACACAAGAAGGACCATAAACACACAACAAGGACCATTAACACACAACCAGGACCATTAATACACAACTAGGACTATTAACACACAACCAGGACCATTAACACACAACTAGGACCATTAACACACAACCAGGACCATTAATACACAACTAGGACCATTAACACACAACTAGGACCACTGATACACAACCAGGGCCATTAATACACAACTAGGACCACTGATACACAACCAGGACCATTAATACACAACCAGGACCAATACTACGCAACCAGGACCATTAACACACACCTAGGACCATTAATACACAAGAAGGACCATAAATACACAACAAGGACCATTAACACACAACCAGGACCATTAATACACAACCAGGACCATTAATACACAACCAGGACCACTGATACAGGACCAGGACCACTGATACAGGACCAGGACCACTGATACAGGACCAGGACCACTGATACAGGACCAGGACCACAGTAGTCCCTCAGAGTCAGAGGGTTTTCAGCTCTCACATTCTTCAGATTCCCTCCAGCAGCAGTGTGGGCCGGCCGCCTGGACCTGGACCTGGTTACGTAACAGACAGATGTTTGTGGGAGAGAGTGAAGTTATAGAGTTCACTCTTGGGGACATGCAGCGAGGGATTGTGGGATAGGTGGAGACCCAGCTGACTGAGGCCAGCATCAGGGCGGTGCTCCCTCGGGGGACACACAGCTCTCCTCGCTCTTACATCACCCTCGCACCCTGCCCTGTGCTGCCTTCACTGAGCTGCTGTCAGGTTTACATCGGTTCATTGGAACTGACTCAGGACGTAAATCACAAACTCTGACAAGCTTCAGGACTGATATCAGAATATTCTCTGTCCACCCGACCATCTAATGTCTCATCCCTCTCAGCTGAAGGAGAAAGTATAAATCTCGTGAACCTCCTGAGACCTAAGCTTTGTTCGGTATGCACTTTTAATTTCTGTTCAGGATCAGTGGGGCTTGATACTTAAATAACGAAACAGTGGCTCCGAATCGTATCAAGTAGTTCTGGAAAACAATGATGTCCTTATATGGGGACATTGGGTTTATTTGTAAAGCCACAAGGAATGTCCTTTTGTCTGTCACAGGTAACTGGCCTGTGTCAAATGCTAGGATAATACAACTGTCAAGTCCGAATAGTGATGGGATTTCTCGTTCACTTTGAAGAGCCGGTTCAAGGATGCGATTCGTTTGTAGGTTTTTTGGTGTGTGTGTGTGTGTGTGTGTGTGTGTGCGCGTGGGGGGGTATTAGTATGTTCAACGACAAATCACATTGCTGATTTGTCGCATCACGTGATCACGCTGCACTAGTGATGTGACATTCGCGAACGAGCGGAGTCTTTGAACCGGCTCTTTGAAGTGAACGGTGAGCGGCTGCTCTGTCTTTCTCCCTCACAAACTATGTTCCGGATCAAATAATCTGAAATTAATGGATACAGAGAAATTTAAAGCAAAAAACAAAGAAATCAGGAACTGGCTCGTTCACTCTAAAGAGCTTGTTCACTTGTTCACTTCAAAGAGCCGGTTCAAAGACTCCGCTCGTTCGCGAACGTCACATCACTAAGTCCGAATGTCCTCAAATAAGACAACTGTATTTGTGTCCAGTGTCTTTCAAAATAAAAGCATTACATCTGCCAACTTCCGTTTTTTCCTTCAACAACACACACACGTGGTTGGGTTCAGCAAAAATGAACAGGTTTGGCTTTACAGTCTTACGGGATGCGAACACCGCTCTCTCGGGTGTAAGTCCGTGAAATGACACCTTTTTGCGTTGGTTTCTGGCGCCGCAAGTCACTGCCCAAGCGTTAGATTTCAAAGACTTCGAAGTGAGACCGGGCTCTCTTATCTTGTTACTGTTGCTAAAATTGGTCATTAGCATTATTAATTATAAATAAACAAGTCTCAGCAATAAAATGTGATCAGGTTTTGGACCTTGTCCACTTTTGTGTCGGGTTTGGCTGCAGGCTGATTTGTCAGAGATGGATGCATGGATTAGTGCAGTGGGTTTATGTTTACAGTGTGTTGACAGTAGCTGGAGCCACTGACGGAGCTGAGGAGGTTAAACTGACAGAATGAAGACTTGGACCGACCTGATCGAGCAGGTTGCTTTGCGACCGGCAGGGACACCTCGGTGAGCGGCAGGATGTAGACGTCCGGGCTGCCCTGGGAGGCTGGCGAGGCCAACGTGGACATATCTGCGTGGTACTCCTCCCCGTCCACATTCTTGAATTCCTGGAAAACACAAACACATGAAGAGGTCAGAGGTCACGCAGAGGAACAGGCTGCTGGTGTTAGATGAGGAGGTGAGGTCACAGAGGTGAGGACAAACAAACCTCACACACGCCTTGATGGATGCACGCTGAGCGACATGTAATGTCTGACTGTAGCGATGTGCGTATGTGAAACCATAAAGAAACTTGTGTAGATATTTGGCCGGAGCTGTGCGGCAGAGCTGAGATAAACTGACTCAAGCTGTCCTGTTCCTCCGAGCCGTTACTGGAACGTCAGAGTGTAAACAAAGCCAGCGTGATTTACACAAAGATTACATGTATCCCAATCCTCATCTTCACTATTAAGCCTGATGGTTTTAGTGCTGAGCTGCTCTCTGGCAGCCGCTGTGACTCACTCTCACTCTCACTCTGCACGAAGGGAAGACATGTTTAAGATCTACATTCACTCAATGATGAGACAGGCAGAGAGGACTTCCTGCACTTCTTTAAACTGATCAAACTCGAAGGCTCCAAACAGGAGGCTGATCAATAAGTCTGATCAGTGTTCGATGGCTTCTTCACGATCACTGAGACTCTACAGGTTGTCTGTTCTTCAGTGAGAACTGGACGGGAGATTTTAATATCTGTCAACAATGGTATGCTAGCTAACGTTAGCCTCTGGAGTGAGGATGTTTACTGTTGCTTGGCAACACCGTCAGCTGCTCCATACCGATGTAATAATCCAGATTTTAAATCCTAAATATCAAATATGTTTGAAATGCTCAGGGCGCCACCGATGAGTCTGTGAGCAGGTCAGGAGGTTTAAACGTCCACACATAACCACACGGACATTAAAAAACTACGACAAAAGCAGACTACTGCATCACCTCATGTCGCTTCACATCGCCTGTGTCTCAGCTGAAAAGTTGCACTTGAACACACCACAGAGAGTACAGCCAACCGCCTGTTCTGTGCCTGTATGACAGGAAATATCTCTCCACACCAGCAGGCGGCAGTTGTATATATATTCATCATTCAAAAAGGGAAACAGGAAGTGTGGCAGGACGGATTCAAGATGCAAGTTGGCCAGTTAGCACATTAACAACACAACCTGATGTTAAAGAACAAATTATTTTTACTGTGAGCTTAAAAACAGGTACAAACAACAATGAACCATTTCTGCCAAAGAGCCCAGCGACCAAAAAAAAAAATCTCACACCATACACTTATTCATGAGTTGAAAAATCTGAACTTCAGCAACCGATTAGCGCCGCGGTAGCCATTCAGCACTGAGATCATCCAGGGAGGTATGACGCTGAGGACTCATCTGCAGAAGTTCTTTCAGCCATTTCATGTGTGTATGACGTGAGTCAACACAAAACATTCTAGCATTCAAACTCGCACGAGAAACGCGACACAAAAATTTGTATCGCATTTGATGTGAACGCGACATTAGACTGGATCTGCTAACGTCTCAAATCATCTGGGCCGAACATCTGTATCGACCAAAGTCTCAAACCAGATCTCTCTGATCGACAGGAGGGTGAGTATAAGTGCATTAAGAGCAGAAGTCCACCATCAGAGTGTGTTACTGTGTTTAAAACATAATCAGGTTCTGAACGGGTTAATGTGTGTGAACCATAACTCTGCAGAGACAGAACCAAAGACATGAGTCTGGGTTTTAAGAACGTTAAGAGTTATTGCTTCGATCAGTCACTGAGAAAAAACGTGTAAATGAAAAGTGGAAAAAGTCTGATACAAACTAAGAAATAATTAAGATAGAATATATTCCTCTGAACGTTAAATCATCATGTGACGATGATGAACAGACTCTGATCAAACTGAGTTCATTCTGTTTATTAATGTATTTTTCTCTCTTTTGTCCTCTGACGGACGGACTCGTTGGGTGGAGCGCCTTCTGTAATGATGTCATTGCTTTTGGAACAATAATATGGAGAAGATGAACAAAGATGATAAAGAGAGAGGAACATCAGTGTCAGCAACAACTTTAGCAGTTTTTGGAAACACCCTGCAGGCTCTAACCAGATTTTATGACACTGTGGCCTTTTTGTGGTCCAGAAGAAGAGCGCGGCGGCGACATCTGAGAACGAAGCGTGTAGAGTGAAGCATTATTCAGTTGTATTTAATGTGTTTCGCGTGTCCAGGCCTCTACGCATTGTTTTGTCTGCAGTGATGTCAGAGAAGACGCAACATGTTGCCGTGAGCTTCGATTGTGGAAAAAAATTGTTTAGTAAAACTAGTTATTTTTTTATGCCTCCGCGCTGGCTCTAGGTGTAGCTGAGGAATTATGTTCTTGGGTCATCCATCTGTCCGTCCTTTTCTCATGAAAGCAATATCTGAAGAAGAGGCTAAAGGAATTTCTGCAAATTTGGCAAAAACATCCCACTGTGACTCAACAGTGACCTGATTAGAATTTGGTGATCAAAAGTCAAAGGTCACTGTGACCTCACTGAACATGTTTTTGGTCATGACACATGTCTAACAGGATAAAATAATGAGGGTCAAAAGGTCAAAGGTCAGCTTGACTGTGACATCATCATGTTTTAATGTCAAAGTGGAAGCTGTGCTGATTGTATAGATCTTGTGTGTGTGAAGGATCCATGTTTTCACTGACATGGATGGAGACTTGATGAGTTCATGGAGGCGTTCAACCGCAGGGTGGTGATCAAGTTTGACATTACGATTAATCGATTAACTGATCATCAATGTTACCAATAGTTAATTTGCAACCCTTGTCCAGACACACCACAGGATAGAGAGCGGAGGATGAAGAGAGGATGAGGGGGGGAGGATGAAGAGGGGAGGGGGGGGAGTTGGCTGCGTCCACAGACCGGATGTCAGAATAAAAGTCTCTCAGTTTGGATCTGGAGAGCAGAGGGGTCCCAACACTGGAAAAATGTGACCCGCTGCAGCCCTCTGCAACACCCACCCACACACACACACACAAACACACACACACACATGCACACGCACGCACACAAACACACAAACACCTCCATCTCTCACTCCATCCTGTCCCAGAAGAATGTGAGCGCACACACACACACACACACACACACTGCTGCACACTGCAACCCCGCCCTCCATCAGCCTCACATCCAAATCTTCACACGGCCTCGCTCGCCCTCCATTCAACATGTGGTTTCACTCTACACACACACACACACACACACACACACACACACACACACACACACACACACACATCCTGCAGTGGAGCCTGCACACAATCTTCAGATTCTGGATCGGATTCGATTCTTTTAGATAAAATTTTATTTCAAACATGAAAAATAAATAAAAAATAAGAATAAAAGTAGGAAAACAAAACCAGAATACCCAGCAGACATATTCAGTGAACATGAGAACTTTATGTCTGCAGTCAACACTTATGAAATTCTGCCTTTTTTTTGTATTTTATCAGTAATATTAAACATGAATATTCCCACCTCAGTGTTCATCGTAGACACCATCATCTGATCAAACAAAACTTAAATATTCAAGACAAAAGAAGAACAGATGGAGCTGAAAACAACAAATCAACAAGGAGAAATGAGCGACAGTTTCCCAGCATGCAATGTGACGTCTGTGCAGCCAACGCTCCAAAACTCAAAGAAATCATACTGATATCGAAAAGAGAAAATCAATCTGTCGTTCGTCTGATCATTTCAGGACGCAGGAAAACGTGCCACCAGTGTCCACACTGGTATTTCTGCTCATTGTGACGTCATTTCCTGGAGTATCTTCAAATGCTTTACCTCCCTAAAAATCTGTGCAAACTGAGCTAAAAGGTTTGTGAGTCAATGCACCAAAATAAATCATAAAAGTATTACAAAAAAATTGCAACTTACAAAACAAAGTGGACTTTTTTTCATCAGATTTTACAAAATAAAAAAACAAAACATTATAATCCAAAAGATTTCTAACTGCAGAAAAGTTATCAAAATTTTTCCTAACTCTCAGAAGTTACTGAAACTGTTAACATTATATAGTTTTGTAGATTTTTATGAGCAGAGTGACAAGGTGTTCCTCGTTTCTCTGCTGCGTTTTAGCTCAGTTTTGCACCACTTGCAGCGTGGTGCAGTGACATCATGTACGACATGATGACACAGAAGCCTTCGCTTTCTGCTGCAAGGAGAATGAGTGTTCTGTCTCTTATGGTTTTTATTTTAGATCGATATGTAAAGGATTAAACAAACAACGATCTCCTGCTGTCATAACAGGGAAATTTAGGCATAAATTTGGCGCAATACAATGTTTGCACGTAAGATAAGGTAACATAAGGCCAAGACAGGAGGCTTCACTTTCTGCTGCACAAAGAATGAATGCTTACAGTTCTTATTGTAGAACTGTTTTAAAAGGATCATACAAACAACATTGTCCTGCAGCCGTGCACGGGACGTTGGTTTTTAAAGGGTTAAAAATAGAAAAAGCATCAAGAGATTTACACACAGGTTTTCACATGGAAATCTGCTCAAAGATTTGATTTCATATGAAGTGATTTCATTCTCAAACTGTCCAGTAACAAACCAAACGCCTCAGCTGGAGCTCTGCTGGTGAAACAACACTCAGTGAACATGTGTCAGCTTACCTGTCCTCAGAGTCCACAGGAAGGGACGGATGGCTCAGCTTCGGCTTCAGCATCTCAACCTCTGCTTCTCACACACACACTGAAAACCTGCACCCATCACACACCCATCAGGCACCATCAGGCACCCACTGCACCAACAGGAGCGCTGGGTGGTCAGCTGTGTGACGGGCGGCAGGAGGCTGGCGGTGCCAGGAGAAGCTGCTGCAGAAAAAGTCATCATCATTCTGCAGACAGAGTCTCATTGTTGAGTCCAGAGAGGAGCAAGAGGAGGAGGAGGAAGAGGTTTTGTAGCTGACTGACTGACTGACTGACTGACTGACTGCTGAGGAAGGAAGGACGGACGGACAGATGGAGGGAGAGGAAGATGAGGAAGAAGGAAGAGCAGTCTGTCTCCCAGTTCAGTGAACCTGTGG